AAAATACATATATAGATATAAATATAATAGTATTTAATGCTAGTATGGATAATAAAGTAAAATTAATTATTTAACATACAATAATGTATCTGTAAGTATATATAATACTTTTAAAGGTGTTGACCATGCTGTGAAAATATATTCCTTGAGGACCTTCCTTCCATTTTCTCACCAAAAATAACACTTGTGTCACTGATGATGATAACATGACAACCATGTTGATGTGGTTAATTACATTTGTTGGATGCTTGAGTTTTTCTAAGCAAGGAGGGGCTGAAAAAGGCAAATATTGATGTTCAGTTTCTACCTGTTTGTGCTCAGTTTGGCTCTTACCCTTCCCTGTCTTCACCCTCTGCCTGAGTTAATGTATTCTAATTTATGCCAGGCTCCTGGCATGCAGCTTCTCTTTCTCTCTGCCACTCTGAGCTGCTCGAGGGATTTGCTGATGTCATTAAAAAGGGAATGTGCAGCTCGTCTGAATTACAACACTGAAGTCATTCCAAGGCCATCTGGAGCCAAATGTAATGAGTGTTGTGGACTCCAAACTCCTTTGTACCCTGCAATATCTGATAGGAAAATTGTAACCTCGCTGTGTTTTCATGGCATTCTCCAGATCAGAGATGAACAAACAATGGAAAGGAGAAGTGTTGGGAAAAGATGAAATCCCTTCCAGCCCCTGAGCTGGTGGGAATTGGAGTGTGACTGGGTGTGCTCTTGGCTTGCCACTGGTTTGGGGCTGCTGGTCCCCATGGTAGTGGTTCAGGGATAGTTCTTGAGATGCTGAACTTGGCTGTGTGTAGGCACATGGCGAGTAAGAGCAGTATAGGTCCACAGATGGACATTTCCAAGTGTAAATACACCACAGCCCCATGCAGCTCCAGGCTGGGGGAGGAGTGGGGACAGAGGTGTTGGTCCCAAAGGCCATTGAGGCACTGGAGCAAGTCCAGCCAAGGTCAACGAGGGCAGCAAAGGGCTAGAGCACATGGGCAAGGGCTGAGGGAGTTGGGCTTGGTCAGCCTGGAGAAGAGGCTCAGGGGTGACCTCCTGGCTCTCTGCAACTCCTGCCAGGGCTGGAGAGAGGTGTGGGATGTGTGTCCTGCCATGGCTGCAGGGAGAGGATAGAGGGAATGGCCTTGAGCTGAGCCAGGGCAGAGTCAGACTGGATGTGAGGAGAAATGTTTTCCCTGTTGTGGTGTTGAGGCCCTGGGATATTGCCCAGGGAGGTGGTGGAGTCACCATCCCTGGAGGTGTTTCAGAGGTGTCTGGATGTGGCACTGGAGGATCTGGTTTGGGGGTTCCAGCAGTGACAGGTTAGTGGTTGGACTTCATGATCATTGAGGTCTCCTCCAACCTTGATGACTCTGTGATGTATATATATATAAATGTCTTTGTACCCATGTGAGTATTAGACCAAAAGCAGCAATGACTTACCCTTATTCACAACTTCATGATTCCCTTTTCCTTTGCCCAATAGCCTAAGATTTGTCAGTGGAAGCAGAGATGGAACAGCAAGAATCTGGCACTACCATCAGCACGACTGGAAGAGTGTGGTCCTGGATATGGCTACCAAAATGACAGGGTAAAGCAAAGCACAATGCAACTGATGGCACATTTACATGCAAACTGAGTCTTCCATCCTAGTGAAAACTGTGTATTTATTTCCATTTTGAGTCAGTTTCAGGGTGTGTTTTGTGCATTGAAAATGACATGGCTCTGGTTATCAGGGGCTAGAGACATCACAAGTTCATGGAGCCAACACAAGTATTTAACAAGTCAAAACAAGACAAAACCATGTCCAAAACATAGCATGTATTAATCTACACGGTTAATTAGCCCCCACATAAAATATTGGTAGTTTCCTGCCCTAATGGCTGGGGAATATTTAGTGTTTTACCTGTGAAGTGAGAATGTCAAACAGTTCATCTCACAAAAAGAGCTCGTTGATCATATGCTGATATGCCAGTATTTATATCCAGCATGTTTTTTGGCACTGTATTTCTTTCCTTAACTTCCCAAGTAAGAGGTGAAATGTGGTGTTTTGGCTCTCAGGTTCAGTTAGGGTTTAGGATCCTTGAGTAACTCCTGGAAGAGCCTTGTAATTACATATGCACAGGAACGAAGAGCAGAAATGGACAAATCCATTAGGCATTTGCTGTGCAGAGTTCTTTCTGTTCCACACAGTCACTTTTGCAGGGTTTGCTGTTGGAATTATGGCTTGGATTGATTTAGCAGGTTCCTGCTCCGTGTGGAGTTCACTGATATTGATGACTGATCAGGAAATGCCTTGTAGGAAAAAACTTAATGGAACTGAATAGCTTGGAAGGAAGAATTGAAGTAGGCAATGGTGATGGCTTAAGACAGAAGAGAAATTGTCCTTTTTAGGGCAAGAAAGCTCTATAAATCTTAGTGGCCCTGGATATTTCCTGTGTCCTGTTCTACCACCACAGAACCATCCTTCATTCTGCCTCAGCCAGAGTCACAGTGGTGGCATCCATCCTGCCCTGGATTTCACACCAAATGAGCCCTATTAAATGGTCCCATCTGGAGTTACTGATTTACTCCTGTACAAATCCTTGATTTCCTTAGGAACAATGTGGCCTGTGGGGAGGACAAGGTGACTAAGCTGAAGGTTACCATGGTGGCTTGGGATCGCTATGATGCCACTGTCATCACTGCAGTCAACAATTTCCTTCTCAAAGTGTGGAACTCATCCACAGGGCAGCTCCTCCACAGCTTATCTGTGAGTACCATCCCAGTGGGGGAGCCCCAAGAGGTGATAGTTCAACTCTGAGGTTGTGTGAGGCTAAACTGCATCAGCATTGCTCCTGAGGAGGAGTTTGGTGTCGAAGTATGCCAGATGTCTTCTTGTTGGGTGGAGGAAAGGAGCTGATGGCCGAAGTACTGGGGGTGGTGGCTGCCAGGGGAGCCCTGTGCCCGCATGGGAGGGTTGCAACTGTCCCCACTGCTGCTCTCTCCTTCCTCCCCAGCCCAGCCCATCTCAGCAGTGCTGAGCTGCAGTTGTGGGCAGTGGCAATGCCAAACCTCTGCCAGGAGTGTTGACCAACTACACCTCCAGCCTCAGATCCAACAGGCTGAGCTTCCATAGGTGACACCCTGAGCTGAGATGTCCTCACACATGTACCAGCATAGAGAAATACACCTTCCCTTCTCCCCTTGCTGTCATTGCAGGGCCATGACGATGAGGTGTTTGTTCTGGAGGCTCATCCCTTTGACCAAAGGATTGTGCTTTCAGCAGGTCATGATGGAAACATTTTTGTTTGGGATATAGACAAAGGAGCAAAGATTCGCAATTACTTCAACATGGTAAGAAAAATCAGAGAGTTCTGGGCTGGTTTTCTTCCATATTTGTGTAAAACTGGTCTTGAGACAAAGGCACATTTCATGATACACCTACAGAGCTGTCTGAGGTCTTTGGTGTGGGTTTGCTCCATGTCTGCCATTCATTAACATGGAGTACAGACTTCCAGGTGATGGTTTCAGATCACACATTAAAAGTTGGGCTGAAGCTTCAGGACGAAAAGAAAATACGAAGTTTTACTGCATTTTTCAGTTTAATGAATATAATGTAAATCAGTCTTGAATGACATGAGGAATCAGAATGAGGATTCAGTGCTTGGAGCACAGGTGAGATTTTTTGTGCAAAAGCTGTTTCAGATGATGTGGGGGTGACAGGAATGTTCTATGCTTGATGCAGATCGAGGGCCAAGGCCATGGAGCTGTTTTTGATTGCAAGTTCTCACCAGATGGACAACATTTTGCCTGCACAGACTCTCATGGACATCTGCTACTATTTGGGTTTGGATGCAATAAATATTATGAAAAGGTGGGTTGAATGGATTTTAAACCCTTCCCTGTCTTGGCCTGATTTTGTCTTAGAAGTCTTTGTGTTGCAATTTATTCCCTTGCCCTTCCCTAGACAAAGTAATGATTAGATCATGAAGCAGTTGCTGTTTGCCTGAACCAAAAAGATTTAGTTAAAGAATCTCTAGACAGGGAAGCAAAGCATCAACTTGTATCTGTTCACCTCTGTTGGCCTATTTTCCTATGGAATTTTTGCATCAGGCCCTGGTAATAAACCACATCTCTGCCATAACATTTCTTCTGATCCTGAGTGTAGGAGCTGTGGTTTATGACTATGGGAGCCATTCCAGAGCAGCAGAGACAGCTGCAAAGGGCCATTGATTTCTCTCCCTAAATTGCATTTCTCTCAGATTCCAGATCAGATGTTCTTCCACACGGATTACCGACCCCTGATTCGTGATGCCAACAACTATGTGCTGGATGAGCAGACCCAACAGGCTCCACACCTTATGCCTCCTCCATTCTTGGTGGATGTTGATGGGAATCCTCATCCCACCAGATTCCAGAGGCTGGTCCCAGGGAGGGAAAACTGCAAGGATGAACAGCTTATTCCTCAGCTGGGATATGTAGCTAATGGTATGTTGGCTAACCCTGATGGATAATGCCTGTGTGGCTCAGTGTGGAGCACCAGCTCCATGGGGTGGCAGATGACACAAAGTGTGGATCTGCTGGAAGGCTGAGGGCTCTGCAGAGGGACCTGGACAGGCTGGAGAGATGGGCTGATTCCAACGGAATGAGGTTGAACAAGGTCAAGTGCTGGTCCTGCACTTTGGCCATACCAATCCCACCCAGAGCTCCAGGCTGGGACAGAGTGGCTGGAGAGCACCAGGAGAAGGGGACCTGGGAGTTTGGAGAGACAGGAGGTTGTGCAGGAGCCACCAGTGTGCTCAGGGGGCCAAGAAGGCAAATAGCATCCTGAGCTGGATCAGGAACAGTGGTCAGCAGGA